CTCTTTCTCTTTAGGGACGACCGTTGTCCTACAAGACATTCTTAATATGGGTTTTGATTAGCATCTATCAAGGTAAGAAAGGTGGAACCACCTATTGTCTTATGCTCTGGCATTGGCCCAAGGGTCAACTTTACTGTTCTACGGGCTGTAGGACATGAGGGGAAGAGGCTGAAACCCTAAAATAGCAGTACAGAGTGTGACAGTGTGCCCTGAGGGAAACCCTGCTCAGCGTGTTCTACAGACTCGAACATTCAGCACAGTGAAAGGCACGTATGTGAGATGGTGCTGCCAGCTTAATGAGATCAAGTCAGATAAAAATATAACTAATACTAATCAAAATCTGCTGAGGTGTTTGAGCCATTGTAACAACAAGTGGTTGCTTCCTGAAATGTTCTGATACCTCTTCTGAGGTCAAGTTGTAGTTTTTGAAAAACATATTTACTTCAGTGGCCTCCGGAGAAGGTCCCTCAGACTGTAGAGGCTTTGTAAGACGATTTATTGGAGCATGAGAAGAAAACATCAAAACCTCTGTTTGTGTTTATTTTTTCTTCACTCTTTTTAGCATTTCTATTTTTATATATGTTTTATGTATTTGTACATAATATCTTTGTACAATGGTCTTAATATCTCTCTGTCTGCACAGGTACACATACATAATTTACAAATATACATTGTATATTGGGGGTTCATTCTTAACGTTTGTTACTGATGAGATGGGCAATCAAAAAGTGTAGAGACTGTTGAATTTGTTGGCAGGAGGCTAAATTGTCATTTAAAAAATTTGAGGGGGTCTTTTTGAGAAGTAAACCAAAGTGTAATATATGTATCTGGTTAAAGAAAGCCAGTCCTGCACGAAAGTTCATAGTAACAAGCAGTAGTGCTCCATTCCGGCCCCTCCATCCTCAACCCTGTTACAATAGGCAATTAACGAGGAGTTGTTAGGTATAGGGTTTTCTGGCCCCACTTTAAGTAATATTCTCCTGCTGCCAGTGTTTTTGATCAATGTGAGACATTCTCCATCCAGTTCCTGCCATGCTAGATGAGTACGGACTTATCTGTATCCTCCCCCACTTTCCTTTCTCTCCTCAATACAGGTGCATAATTCTTCGAGTGTCTCTTTAGTTACCTCTCTCATTTCATGTGCGTGTGGCAAAAAACACATAACATAAAGTTGACCATCTTACCTGTTTTGACGTGTGCGGTTCGGTAGTGTCCAGTCTATTCGCATTGTTGTGAAACAGATCTCCTTTTCATCTTGTGAAACTGAAACTCTGTATCCATTCAACAAACCCCTCTTTCCTCCTCCAGGTACCCCTGGTAACCACCAGGCTACCTTCCATCTCTATGAATTTGACTACCTTAGATACTTTCATGTAAGGGGACTCATACGCTGTTTGTCTTTTTGTGACTGGCTACCTCTGTCATTTAAAATAACATATTTAAATTTCTACTTCTTGTGCCATCTGCTGCAGGTGGTTACTTTCTCTCTCAGTTTCTCTCCCTTTTTTCCCCCTTTCCCTCTCGCTCTCCCTCTCCCCACCCCCCCTGCAGTTACAGACTCTTTATTATGTAAAGTCAAACGGGAATATAGGAAAAACTAGACTGTGACACCTCTCTTTAAAACCTCCATAAAGCACCTCTCATTAGCCTCATTTGACCAGTGGTCCCTTTCATGTCTAAATGGAGAAAAGCACAGAAGGAGTCGAATGTGAGTGAGCAGAGGTGGGGCGCGCCGGCCCCTCCCCACCTGGACCTTCCTTGCACTTTCAGGGAGTACCATCATGTATGGGGCGCTGCTGCTGTTTGAGTCAGAATTCGTGCACATCGTGGCGATTTCTTTCACGTCGCTGATCCTCACCGAGCTGCTGATGGTGGCCCTAACCATCCAGACCTGGCACTGGCTCATGACAGTGGCCGAGCTGCTCAGCCTGGCCTGCTACATCGCCTCCCTGGTGTTCCTACACGAATTCATCGGTAAGACCCCCTGCATTTAATGGACCCCCTGGTCCATCAGGTCCAGAGTTCTCACCAGCACTTGTGTCCTGGGTTCTTTGTCCAGCAGCCCTTTGCACTCAACTGCCCCCATTTTCTCATTGGCGTCCCCTCGGGACAAGTGACAGTTGTGAATCAGCCTTTTGGAACTGAGGCTGTCGGGCACGATCTCAATATGGAGTATTTTCTGTTAAAACCACACCGTGCTAACTGGCTTAGAAGGGGATTCATTGACTTCAGCAAGGCCCTAGTGGGTTTCTCCAGGGAGCTGGCCCCTGTGCTGGGCTCCGTGGAGCTGTGGAGATGTCAGGCATCCAGGTCCTACTGACGAATAAATGATGGTCCAGCAGGACTTTTCATGATCGTTAGGTTGAGACACTCTGCCTTACCATGAAAGCATCTTGGATCACATCTCTTGTTTATCAGCAAATGCTCCTTAAGAAGGTTTTGGTAAAGTTAAAAGGAACATCATCCTTGTGAAAGGTGAAGTCTTAGAACAGTTTCACACTTGTCCCCAAAGTCTCTCAGAGTGGGTTTTCTGAGCACCTACTGTGTACTCAATGGCTTGAGGCCCAGGGGTCACAGAGGCTCGGAAGATGTGAGTGCTGCCCTCAGGAAGCTGCAGTCAGCCGCCTGAGATGTGGACCAGCCACAGGACCAGGCGAGCAGCACACAGTGGGGCCGTAGGTCTGGCGCGTAGTAGGTGCTTAATCAGTGCCGGCTGCCTTTTCCCCATCCTGTGCTCAGGAAGTGGGGAAGGTGTTACTGGGGCAGCCGCTCCATGTACTGTTGAAAACCACAAGTTGTCGCACCTCTCTCGCAAAAACCTCATAACTGCAGGGTTTGCTGTCCTCCAGCAGGAAAGGGAGCGCATGGGTCAGAGCCCCTGAGGTTACGCCGTCTCTGACAAGGGGGTGTCAGCCCACATTGCACCACCCTCAGACCCGTCTCCCGGCGTTCTGTGACCATCACTGGGAAGAAGTTCCTGGGAAGCAGAAACCTGTCTTTGAGTGTCACTTTCTGCTCTCCAGGGGCTGGGTTTGAAAAAGAAAAACTCCACCTGTCAGATTCCAAATCAAAAACACCAGTAAGGATTTTTTTTTTGCCCAGAGTTTGGTTTTCCTAGTTGTTGAAAATGGCATTTCACTGAATACAGGAAGCTACAGAAGCAGGTCGGAGAGGAGGAGAGAGCGAGGACAATTAGGCTGGCAGGCTTTACGTGCTATTAGTCTGGAGCGCGTCCCCGTCAAGGTTGGGTGGAGGAAAGAAGCCAGTGCCGGGAGGCCGTGCGTGGGTGACAGGAGACGGCATCCCCTGTGATAGCTGTGGCGGCGGTTTCTGGGCTGCGTGTGTCGTCCGGCACATTCCCCCTGCTCACCGCTGTCTTCCCGTTTGCTTGCAGATGTGTACTTCATCGCCACGTTGTCGTTCTTGTGGAAAGTCTCCGTCATCACGCTGGTCAGCTGTCTGCCCCTCTACGTCCTCAAGTACCTGCGCAGACGGTTCTCTCCTCCCAGCTACTCCAAGCTCACGTCCTAGGCTGCGTGCTCGGGGAGGGGCCCCGGTCTCCGCGCTTTGCTGATGGACAGAGTTCACGTTCCGTTTCTGTTCACCGCCACCTGTGGATTTTGCAGTAATTGCTAACACGTGCAGTTGTGACGTGACTCGGCTCTGCTTCAGCGGAGCCCTAACACTGAATAAACAGGAGGAGGCTCCTAAAAGGTGCCCTCGCGGGCCTGTTGGAACCCCTGGTGATTCCTGTTGGAGTGACTGGGGCAGTGTTGAGATGGTGGCTCAGCGAGAGAGTTATAGGGTCACTGTGCAAGCTTCCTTATGACTTGAATTTCGTTGTCGTGTGATAAAAATGTCTGTCTAGTTGAAGATTGTAGAAGGGTTTTTTTTATGTTTTTTGTTTTAAAACAATCCTAATGTGTGTATACTCTTTATGTCTTTCTTGCTCTTAAAGACTGGTTTCAGAGAAATGTATAGCTCTTGGTATAGGTTTGGGGCAAAAGACAGTGACGTGGTAAAAAGTTATCCAAACAAGAGTCTCGATTTGGAAACGCTCAATATCCTGTCTCAGATGGCCCTGCTCATTGAAGCTGCGCTGGCTTCCCAGGATTACAGCAAGCAGATGAGAGGAGGTGGGGAGAGAGGGCCATAAATCGAACATGGTATCCTGGGTCTGATCCAGCACCTTCGGCCTCGGCGTTCCCTTCACCTGCCACCTCATAAAAGAATGTCGCAGGTGTTATCCTGCTTTGCTGGGACCTGATAACAACTATAACACCCGTGGCTCTCTGAGGACACCCTCAGACATTTTCAGCAGAGTTGTTTTAGCAGGAAACGTGCCACTGAATGGCCCCTAAACATGTCAACACTGAGATAAGAGACTCAACTAATTCTTCAGACAACATAGCACATGTGGCTCAGGCCCTCCGAGTCCAGAGTGGAAAGGTCACAGACGGGGCTCATTGCTTCCACAGCAATCTGTTTTCTGTTAGGAGGAATTATGGAGGACAGAATGACCAAGGCAGAGAGGCATCTGAGTGCATTGCTACTCGTCGGTGGCAGCTTCAAGCCAGGAGCCCGGTGGGAGGAGACCCAGGCATCAGCTTTGGGGTCTGGGCTCCATTCTGCTGCCTGCAGATTTCAGGGGGAGCTTGCTGAAAGGCAGCCAGTTGTGGAGATGGAGTACATGCGTGTGTTTTTTATGAAGCCGTGGCTTCTCGTTTCAGAGGAAGCAGGGAGTATGCAAGCACTGGACGTGGCAGGGCAAGGCATTCTTGGGTTTTCAAGTCAGTTCTTGCAGGAGCCACATGTGTGCGCCATACGGTTCAGTGGGTGGATCTTCGAGAGCTGACTGTGTTTGATATCTTAGGTTTGTGATTAATTCTTGATGAGTACATACTCCTCAGCCCTTCAGCATGATTCTTCTTCACGAGCTGCAGAGATGTAAGTTCCAGCCTGGTTGCTGACGCCCACTGCTCTAGGGTCAACCAGTTCCCTGCGAGTTGGGGACGTGAGGAGCAGACGGTCCCTTGCCTTGGGAGTACTCTTGATATGCTCAGATATTTACGTTGCCCTTTTAAAACTTGATAGAATGAAGTAAGTTGCAGGCACTAGTACATTGGCTATTGACATCACTTCTATTGTTTTAAGATTCTGCACTTTTGCAGTATTTTTCCCTTTCTGTTCCAGGCGTTTCTGCCATACAGAAAATAAATGTTGCATTGAATGAATGGTTGTTTAGGACTAGGGTCTTTGTCCAAGACTTTCATAAAGGGTGAGCAGGTCTGACTTCTTCCCCGAGTGGGTAGATGTGGTTTCAGAGGTGGCCGGGGAGAAAGTTGTGCTCAGTGTTTTTGCACCCCAGTCTGTCTGGGAAGTCAGACTGTAAAACTGGAAGTCTAAAGGTAATTCCACTCTGAGTTTGCAAAGCCCGAACCTGGCCTTGTCCGCAGACAGGTGATGGCCCCTGCAGGTAGGTCTCGTGGAATCCTCGTTGGGAAGTTTTCTCTGTGTCCAGCAGATACGGGCAATGCATCTGGTCTCTTTGGTCTTCTCCTTAATTCCCAATTTTGATGGAGGGGCGTGAGTTGCCTTTTCAAGTCAATGCCTAAGATGCTGCTTGGCATCTTGAAGGGAGAAAGGTTCTCAGAGGTGCTGACGAAGCCATCCCTGGACATCGAAGGTGCTCGTCAGTGCTGTCAACGGACCTCCTTGTTCTGTTGACCACACTCTGGTGGAGGCGGTCAAGGGCGAGAGGGACGGAGAGGCGGCTGGAGACCACCCCGTAGAACCACCCTGTCGGTGGGCAGCCTGCTCACACCCCCCGCTGGGGTCCCCGAGGGGCAGGAATGAACACGCGTGCTTCTCAAACTCGGGAGACCCAACGAGCAGGAGCCTCAAGTCGGTTGTGAGTCCACGATCCCGACCTGCACCCTTCAGACTGATCCCGCCAGAGACCCCGTCCCACGCAGGCGCTTCCAGGGGTCATCTTAGTTGTGGGGAGAGGACAAAGAAACAAAAAACCCGAGCTGTTTTACAGGAAACTCCTGAGTTCATAAACCGTCCGTGTAAGGACTCTGTCGACCTTTTTCTTGGTTCACCAATCTGGAAAGAACTTAAGAAGCACCACTGACACCCTCCCCTCGCCTTGGAACTCGGACCCGCGTCTGTGACAGCCAGTTGAGTCTGAAGTCAGAGGCCCCGTGGTACACAGCGCTGTTTAAACACTTTTCCTTACAGTAAAAATTACAACTCCCCCTGCCCGCCGACAACACTAGGTATTTCTGCCAGAGTAAGCACTTTTATTATTTTGTGATGATTATATCTTTTGATGATGGTTGTGTGTGCGTGGGGAGAACGGAATCTGTTTGTCTTGTCTTCCTTCCTTTCTGTACAAAAATGACTGACGAGCTTCTCCATCCTGAATAATTTCTTACACCTGACGATTTTGATTCTGATTCTGCGAGCGTGTGGGCGCACGCGTGTGTCGCCTGTGGTGCTGGGTGGGACTGGTTGCACTGACCCTGGCTGCTTGGGGCAGAGGACATGGCCACAGAGCTGCGAAGGGCGTCCCAGGGAGCATCCCGACACCGGCGCAGACCACCTGTTTACAGCCCCCTGGCGCTGGGAGGCCGAGAGCTGGGACTTCTCCCACTTTTAGCATTGTTGCATCCAGATCCCTGACTCACTTCCCTTTTTTGTGGCAGTAATCTAAAATGCCAACGTCTGCTTACCCTTTCCTCTGTGTGTTTTCTGCTGAACATTTAGGTTATCCTGACAGTACTTTTGAATGTATTTTGGGTTTTATGCTCATTGAAAGTTGACACGATCATGCCTGTTTTTCCTCCTCCAGACTTTTGTTTTTATCCTTTGTTTTGTTTGTGCTGGGGTGGGGATGGGAACGCCTTCACGCCTTGATGGGGCAGCATTTTAAACCTTTGCCAAAATTGCAGATGGGACCTACGTGTTCTTCAACTCCACCCTATTTAAGGCGAACACCTGTCAGCCATTTTTATCTCTGACCTTTTTTGTGTGTTTGAAATGTGTGTATGTCTGAGGGTATGAAGTCATCTAAAGTTTTTGGAGGAGTTATTTGGTTTTCATTGCATTAAAATCCTATCGCTCCCAGCTTTGTTTTCATTAAAAAATATACAAGGAGCTTTGTAAATACAACAGATTTTATTTCTCCCCCTCTCTTTTAATGTAAAGCTTTTTGTCGTTTCCATATACTTCTTAGGAAATATTTCTCTTGATTATGTCCATTTCATCTTGGAAAAAATGCATATTATGTTTTTGAATGGAATTGAAAAGCATACCGCTGTGTGAGCAACCTGGAGTTGCGTAGCATCTTCTCACGCCAAAGCAGCATCACCTGCCTGTGAATCTGTCTTCTCCGTTGCAGCGTGGCTGGAGACCCAGTCTGTTAATATCGCTGGGCAATGTCAGTAAATACGTGTTTGTGGGGGGGATGTGGGGGGGCGTGGTGTTTGCGAAAAAGAATTGTGGCTAATGTATTATTTTGTTGCAGTGGGGCTGAGTGTAAACTCATCTAGGATTCCATGACTTCCTCATTAGGAGATCTCTTTATATGTAATCCTTGTTGCAAGTATTCACCAGGACAGCGTTTTTTGATTAGAAGGAAGCTGTGGTACAGTATGCTTTAATTTAGCAGGAATTCCCAGATGATTTAAATTCTCGAGCCTGTGATGACACACACGTGATCCTGCGTGTTTCCCAGCGGTTCTACTTTCATTGTCTGCCAGCGTGGTCCGTTGCTGTTACCCAATAAAGCTTGTGTACTTTATGCCTTTGGGGATCATTTTAATTTGTGCGGAAACGTGAATTCTGCTGTCAAATGAGGGCTTTTCATTATAATGCTCCTTTTTTGTGTGTATCTCATGGTACAAAACATGTAAATAGCTTTTACTCCCCTTAAAATATTTTGATTTCAGTATAAAAACCCCATGCATTATTTATTATTCTGTACCGTTGTGTATTCCAGACATGTCAGAATTTCAAAAAGTGATTGATATAAATAGAAAAAAAGTGAAAAACATTTTATGATTGATATTTTATTGATATACAGTCCTTGATCGCTTTAGATACTTGATTTTTTTAATCAAGTGGTAGAAGATTTAGGAATGCAATCACTTAAGTTTTAGGCAAAAGGTTTTTAAGCTGTTGTGTAGGAAGCAGAGGACGTCGTGTTTTATTCATTTAATCCAGTGATTCTCAACCAGGGGTGATTTTGTTCCCCAGGGGACATGTGGGCATGTCTGAAGTCATTTTGGGTTGCTGCAACTGGGGGGAGGGTGCTCTGCTGGCGTCTAATGAGGACAGTCCTGCATCTGATGTCCTGCAGTGCACAGGACAGGCCTCACAACAAAGAATTATCCAACCCAGAGCTCAGAAGTGTTGACGTTTGAGAAACCCTAATATAATCTACACATGTCGTTTTTACCATTTGTAAGAGTCTTGCTTCATTTCCAAAGGAGCCCAGCAGTATCAACTGTCTGAAAAAACCAGTTATGCATCCAACTGACCAAATGTTTTAATTAGTATCTATTGGCAGTGAGGGCTGCTGGTTTCCTCTCACTTGGCTTTCAGCTGAAAGGGCTATTCTCCGTTTATCAATTAGAGAATTGTAAATTAGCTGTATCTCAATCGACAGTGGCCGCCCTGGGCAAATCAAGGACATACTTCAGCTCTCGTTACGTGGGCTCAAGAGCTGCAGATGAGCAGTACTTTTCCTTAAACGTGTATAGTTATCAACGTAAAGGCTTCAGGCTCTGCATCTGCCTGCTGTGCGATTCCGTGCGTGTGCAGACGCTCCTCCGGCCGAGCGCCAGGGGGAGCTTGAGGACCGACAGACATTCCTGTTTCCTGTTTTCAAGAATCGGGCAGGCCCAGCATAGTCAACCGCTCTGTTTCAAGACGCCGCGTTCATAGCCTCAGAATTTATTTCATGGCCAACAGCTCTGTTAGAAACAGACATTTCTTTTTATGTTGTTGACCAGACTTTTGCTGGACTTAGCTTGAAAAGGAAAAAAAAAAAACGGGGGGGTAGGGGGGAGATGAATATTTATTTGATCTTGGATATTTGCATTTTTGAATAATTGGCAACGGGGAAGGCTGACCCTACTCACTATTCAGGCTAACAAGGTTTTGAGACGAAATGTTCCAACACCCCAAGTACTTCAGCTGTTTTTGTTATGAAACTTTTCAGGGTGACACGAAACCCTGCGGTATTTGTGAGGAGATCTATAAATGATGGATTTGCTCACCTCAAAATAGAACTGTAGTCGCTCCAAACTTTCCAGAGGTCGGAGCACAGTAACAGAATTCATTCAGAACTCGCTAATTTCCTACTTTAACTGGGTTACATAACAGGACAGCCCCGCCTTCGCGCCTCTCAAAACTGCTCATGAAGTGATGGTGAAATGTATCATTAAAAGCTAGAAATAGCTTTGCTCAACTCTGGGAAAAAGATGAGTTTTTTTTCTGATATCCCCCCCTTTTTTTCACCCAAACATTGCATAATGTTGAAAAAGTCAGATCTTTCCATGGGATTTAATTTCGTTCTCCATGTGGCTGTGGTCGGAGGGGTAACTTGAGCACTTCGGGGGCTGGCGGATTTTTGGAGGATCACGCACTCCGGGATCAGTTTTCAGCGAAGCCTTAGCAGAGAAACACGCCCGATCCTGGGGTTTCTCCCTCTCCCTCCTGCTCCCCCCTTTGTGGGGGTGAGTTATCTGCGACGTAGCATCTTTTCAGAAGGCCTGCCTTCTCGTAGGAATGCCGAAGCAAAGCCACCCTCAGCTTTCCATGTTGAAGTTTTGATCTTAAACGGTTCCCCCTAAAGTTTGGGGTAACTGGATCGTGTGTGAAGTCACCCGCCCCACAATCTGTGCTCGATGACCAGCCGGGTCTCATTTCTAGAACCCAGCCTGGGGTTCTGTTGGCTCACACTAAGAACTTGGTGTTCCAGGCCTCTGCTGTCCATTTTCAAGAGATTTAAGAGAAAAACATTTTTTTCTTTTACTGGGTCCAGATAAGCCCAGGAATATATATATTTTTTCCTTCGATTGCAGCATCTACAGAGAGAGAGAGGGCTAGGAGTTGTGTGAAATATGCTGATTCCTTCACTCACTCATTCACTAAATATTTACCGAGCACCTTCTGTGTGTTGGGTACAGTTCTTTGGGCTGGAGGCACAATGGGGAATAAGATAGACAGTCCCTGGCCTCAGAGTGATGCTATTCTTGTATGTGTGAGAGAGACAACAGACAAACAGACACAGACTCTAATAGCCTCTGAAGACAAAGCAGGACAAGGAGCAGGCAGAGAGTGACAATCAGGTAAGAGAAAGTGATGGGGCCAGAGAAGGCCCCTTGGGGATGGGTCACTGGAGCAGAAGCCTGAGGATGAGAAGGAGGGAGCCGTGGAAAGCTATCGGCAATGTGGTGGCCAGGCAGGGGAATGTGCAAAGGCCCTGGGGTAGGAGAGGCTGGGCATGTTGGAGGGGCAGAAAGAGGGGCACGTGGCTGGAATGCTAAGGAGGAGTGTGGAGGAGATGAGGGCAAGGAGGGAGGCCGGGCCCACAGATGATGGTGGTCAGACTAAGGAGTCCCGGATGAGAACTGAGCAAGCATTATTCAAGTTAGCCCACTGCACTTGACCTATGTTCGCTCCTTCCTTTCTGCTCCGCCTCACTGACTGCCCGCTGCCTGTTCTCATTTCCACCTCAGTGTTCCATGGGGGCTCAGGTGAGCACCCCCTCCCTGCCCGGTATTTCCGCATGAACGATGCTAACTAGTAAATACAGGGGCGCAGAAGCCAGTCTGTGGATGAAGTTTCCTCTTGCTTTTCCAGCAAACACGACCGAGGGTCTCTACTCTACTGGGGGCGCAGGTGGCGGAGGCGGCTGTTCATGCACGTGTCCTGGAAAGCAGGCCACCTAAGAATTGGGAGGCGAGTCTGGAGGGAGAAGAGGTAGAGAAAAATTAACTGGGTCATGTTCTTCGAAGCTGCCGCATTTCCAGAACGTGCCCACTCGGGTCAGATCTTGAAGACGAGGCCTTTGCGGTTGTGAACTGCGGGAGCCCAGGCTGTGTTCAAATTCCTCCCGAGGAAAGAGAGAATAACAAGAACAGGCTGTGCAAAAGAATGTCGTTAGTGTCTTAAAGATGGGCAAATATTCATTCTCATTTGTCTCTTATGTGAAACAGATTTTTAAAAGGCAATTGGGGTAGCTAACGACATCCAGAACCGTGTTGATTCAAGTGGGGCTGGGGGGGCAGCTTCAGTTGGCGCAAACGACTAATCAGGCCTAAAGAAAGGGGTGAGTTGATTACCCTGGAAATTGCGCAGGAATTCTTCAAAGACGCGGCCAATAATTAGAGTATAAGATGCCGCTCTCTATGCACATAACTTAGCATAATGTTATTAGGCTCATCACCACCAGAATTAGAGAAAATCAGGCCAGAGAGAACCCGCTAGCCAGGCGGCCCTATGCCGACGTGGAGACTCGTGCTCCAAAATGGCCTCATGCTCGAGGAAGACGCCGAGAAAAAGCACCTCCTTTCTTCTGGGCCCTAATGTGGTGGGAATAGAAATGAATGCAATTCATTTTAGGGAATGTTCTGGAATTTGGGGGGATGCAGCATAAGGCAACGTGCCATGGACCCAGCTGGAACCAAGACAGACTTGGTTTGAACACCAATTCCCATACTTACTGATATGGGGCCAATTCCGTACATTCTCTGAGGTTCAGTCCCTGGCCTGTCATCAGGAGTACGAACCCCACTTGTGAGGCTGAGCGATGAGGCTCGTGGCACTGGCGACGGTGCAGAGACAGAAGTGGCATCGGTTGTCCTCACTCAAGACCTCTGAGCGGAGGGCAGGCTGCAGGGGGAGGGGGGCATCGTCTCTCCCCAGCTCAAAAGTCCTTCATACAGATGGGTTCACGCACATGTTTTCTCCAAACACTGAGGTCACCTGTCTGGACAGAGTCCTTAGATTTCGAAGTTTGGGCGCAGAGGCAGTATCCCACCTTGAATCTTGCCACGTGCTTTTCTCTGTCTTCGCAGGTGCCCTGCCTTTGAATGCCCATCCTGCGTCCTGCTCTCCCAGCCTGTGCTCTGAGAGGGGGGCGAACCTGCCTCCATTACGCTGGGCCGGCCGGGGCATCCCTAAGGGGCTCCCACCCCTTCAGGGCTGGGGGTAGATGCAGCCAAAGGAGAAAGGGGGCTCCCAAAAGACTCCAATGACTCAGGGGTTTGGGAGGGAGAATGAGAATAAGTCATTGAATTGGCAAATGATTTAACACATTTTTTTTCAAGAGAACAAATTCTATTTGTTCTCTTGTAAAAAATTAATGTAATAGAATAGAAGGCAAAATTGGCTTGAATTTTAAAAAATAAACCACGAGGCTCGAGAGAGATGATGGGGGAGAGGTGGTGGGTGCCCATGTGGGCATCTGCTCTGAGGGGATCTGGAGGGACAGCTTGGGGGGACCTGACTTCTGGTTGTATCCTCAGCCAGCCCAGGGCCTGGCCCGGGGTTAGGGCTCAGTAAACCTTTGTGACTTTGAGTTGTTTTTTTTATTGTGGCAAAATATACATAACATAAAATTTACCATTTTAACCATTTTTAAGTGTACGGTTCAGTGGCTGAAATCATTGAGTTTTAAGAGTGGATTCTGGAAGATTCAGGAACCTGACTGAAAAACGTGTGCCTTGCCTGGTCATGGCATTTTCCAGTTGCAAAATGCTTTTCCACCTGTGCCTCATAATCCTGTGAGGAGGGTGTTATTATCCCCATTTTGCAGATGAGAAAAGCATCACTGAGAGAGGCCGAGGTTGACCAGGCCCACACAGCAACACAAATGTTCACAGCAGCACCATTCATAGTAGCCAAAAAGCAGAAACAACCCAAGTGTACATCAACTGATAAATGGATAAACAAAACGTGATATATCCGTACAGTGGAATATTATTCAGCCATGAAAAGGAATGAAGTCCCGATACACACTACAACATGGATGGGTCTTGAAAACATTATGCTAAGAGAAAGCAGCCAGGTGCTATAGGCCACATATTGAGTGATTCCATTGATATGAAATGTCCAGAATAGGCAAATCTATAGGGGCAGAAAGCAGATCCACGGTTGCCTAGGGTTGGGAAGATAGGGACGACTGCTAACAGGTACAGGGGTTTTTGGGGGGTGATGAAAATGTTCTAAAATCGGATTGTGATATGGTTATGCAACTGTAAATACACTAAAAACCATTTAATTGTACACTTTAAATGGGTAAATGTTATAGTATGTACCTTATATTTCAATAACACTGTTAAAAAACAAAACTCTGACGCCAAACTGTCTCCAGATGGCGGTACCATGTTTTCATCCCACGGCAGCAATGCATGAGAGTTCCGGGTGCTCCACGTCCTCGTCAGCACTTGGCATTGTCAGTACTTTTTTTTAGCCATCCTAACGGATCTGCAGTGGTAGCTCTTCGTGATTTTCCTTGTCAATCCCTAATGGCTGATAACACTGAACATCTTGTCCTGTGCCTGTTTGCCACCCACATATCTTCTTTGGGGAGGTGTTCCTGTCTTTTTCCCGTTATCTTTTTTATTAGATTGTTTTCCTATTGTTGAATTCTGAGAGTTCTTTATATATTCTGGTTACAAGTATGCTGTTGAATATGTGATTTGCAGAATTTTTTCCCCCACCTGTAGTTTGTTGTTTCATTCTCTTTATTGTCAATATTTCTAATTCTAGCCACTCTGGTGGGTGTGTTGTGGTATCTCATTGTGGTTTTAATTTGCATCGAATCATTTCTTAATCTGGTTCGTGGGGTCTTGGTTCAACAGCAGTTCTGGCTATATGCAAAGTGCTTGACATACGGGGTCTTTTGGGAGGGAGACTGTTGTTACAGTCTGTTTTCTACAGGCAAGGCTGTAAGAGATTCAGGGACTGGCTCGAGGTGACACGGCTCCTATGAGAGAGGTGGGGCCAGGGTTGGAACCCAGGTCTGCTGTCTTAGAGGCAGCTACCTCTTCTGAGCTGTAACCCACTTCAAGCCTCAACTTCAAGGCTCCTGGTAAAAGCAATAGCCTGACTTCTCTCCAGCGAGCCGCATTCCTTTACGGCAAGTCACGAGAGGTTGAGAAATGCCAGCAAAGATGACGAATGAATCCTCCATTTATCCGACTCCCATCGTTCCCAAGGACCCTCCTCACCTCCATCCCTGACACAGCACTTCCCAGGGAATTGCCACATACATTCTCTGGCTGCTGTCATTGTGGCTGCTCCCACCTTCTAATTATGAGCAGAGTCAGCCTCGGGATGGGGTAGAGGCCTTGAGCCATGAGTCATCGTGGGGATGTCGTCACCCTGGGGGGAAGAGAGCCCCTGGGCTGTCTGGAGGCCCCGTTCAACATCCATGAGCACCCACTGGGCAGCAGGCAGCTTCTGGGCCCGGTGGATGCGACATTCATGATCTCTGCTCTCTGACGGAGCTTCTGTCTTAGACGGAGGGGAAGCAAACAAGCGTCCTTTAGGTCTTTGCTCCGATATCCCTTCTCAGAAAGGCCTTCCCTGACCGCCCCATCGAATGATACAGCCTGTCACTCCCTAGCCCCTTCCCCTGCTGTATTTGTCCTCAGGCACTTAGCACTATTAGAGCATTATTTTCAGTATCGTCCACTAAAATCTGTGCTCTTTGACTTATTTGCTATCCTGAGTACTTAGAAAAAGGTGTCACATAGTGGGTGTTCAATAAATGTGGAATGAATAAATGAAGTAAACGAATAAGATAACTGCATTTCACAGTGATAAATACCATGATGAAATTACATCAGGATGCCATTAGGGAGACTGACTGGAGTGGGGTGAAGGGTGAGGAGTGTGTGTGGCTATTTTAAATTGGTGGTCGGGGAGGGTGTCCTTGAATAGGTGGATTTTGAGCTTAAACCTGATGAGGGGAACCAGCATTCACAGATGTGAGAAAAGAGTATTCCAGGCAGAGGAAATAGCATGTGCAAATGCCCTGTGGCAGGCAAGAAGGCTTCCGTGTATTGAGAAACAGAAAGAAGAGCGGTGGTGGCCGGCACTGATGCATGGCAGGAAGTGACTATTGTTGTCTAGCCTGTCTCCACCATGCCAGAGCTTGCTGCTCTCTGACCTTCTAAGGTCAGCTTAGAGAGTGGACCCACTGTGTGTCACGTTGAAAGACTCCAGATCCTGGGATCATGGATTCCCAAAGCCAGAGATATCAAGGATGTGGCTCATACCCTAGACCACATTCCATTCCCCAAGTATGTCAGATTTCTATCTCCACGTCCAGAGCTGTGGCTTTGGGTAGCTGCTTCAACCCATGAGAAAGCTCTCTTAGTTCTTGAGAGCATCTCCCCTGGGCCCAGGAAATGCCTCTCAGAAAGGAGACTTCCGAGAGCCACGTGGCTTCCAGTGGGAGTGAGTGTGCTGGGTCTTAGGCACTGCCACTCGTATTATCTCGTCGAGTCCTCGCTGTAACCGTGTGGGTTGAGTGGAATCAAACTCATCTAACAGATGCAAGAGCAAGGTCCCCTACATTCCAGACCTGGCAACTTATTAACTATGAAAGGCTGGGCAAATAGGGTACTCTGTGTCTGAGACTCTCCATCTGTGAAATGGGTGTATGAGTGTATGTGTGCCCAGTCCCTAATTACTGTTGGGAGAAATGGATGTGGTGACCTACGGGAAGTGCCTGGCATGGTGTATGAACATGTAAAGCCATTCTGTACCAGTTACAGCTCCGTGTTTGCACGGAACCTAAACCAGCACTGGCAAAGTTAAGCCAAGACATGGGGAGGGGGGATTTATTGCCACGATGCAGACTGGCTCACAGACTGGAACTTCGGCTTCGAATGGGCCAGAACCAGGATACCCTGGGGATGCAGGTAGCAGAAGTGAATCCACCTCCAGTCAGCTCACTGAAGCTTGTTTTTATCATGTCCAGCTGTTTTGTCCCCCGACCCTACCCAGCCACCCCCACCTCGCGTTACTTGAGAGTCCTAGTGGGAGAATCTCCTGAGTCCAGCTTGGGTCCCACGGCAGGGTATTTTGATTGCCAGTCCCTCCAGACTGCCCGCCACGAAGAAGAGGTAATTCTCCAAAGGGATCGTTTCTGTTTCCCCAAGAAGAAAGGGCAAACGCACGCTTGGGGGTCAAAGGATAACACGCGTCCCCTGCAGTGAAGATGCTGGCGTTGCCACTGAGCTGCCTGCTCACGGTGGCCCCTCTCCAGCTTCAGTCCCTGCTCTGTCAAATGAAGGCACTGAGTTCCACACCAGGGTGACTCAGAACCTCTGGTGGGACTCAGAAAAATGAGGACGGGCTCTTCTAGGCCATGTCTTTCGATGAGCTTTGAAAGCTTCTCCTGGAAGTCCCTCTTACCTCTCGTTGGCCAGGACTGGGATACACGCCCACCCCTAAACCAACCACTGGCGCGATGGGAATGGCTAAAGACCAATCAGATCTGACCCCGTTCTTCCTGAAGGTCAGGAGAGGGGCGACAGGGGGCGGCCCCCAGGGTGGTCGGCCAGGCTCTCTCTCAAGTATCGTGGGTTCTGTCGGACAGACTCCTCTGAGCCAGTAAAGCTTGAAAATGGGAGTCAGGGTGTCCTTTTCCGTCTGAAAGTTGTTCATGAAACTGGTTGTGTCACCACCGCTCCTTGGAGCATCTCAGAGGGAGGCCATCTGTCACCTGCCAGGTAGCTCAGCCGCCCCAGGTACCGAACCTACCTAAAACGTGCCAAAGCCAGCGGCAAACCTGCAGAGGAAAGAAACACCAGGTGGTACCGTCCACTAAATAAGGATTGTGGCTGAATTGAAAACAAAAAAAACAATTCATCTTGCCAGGCACGTTGACTTCAGGCAGGTTTTAATTACAGCGCCAGGTAAGCCCGGCTCTGCCCGTCGGGGGCTGTCCCCAGCTCAGCTGTCAACTCCGCTTACCTTCCAGAGGGCTGACAATTTCATGGGGACACTTTTTCACTCTCGCGTGACCTAACACAGCCACGCTTCTCAAAAGCTGGTAACTAAATTTGAGGTGCTGAAAGAAATATTGCAATGGAAATAATGCTTTAGGGAACGTTTATATGCCTTGGAGTGAATTAATGTCTCGACAAAAGAGCCCCTTCTCTAAGCACAAATATATGCTTTTCACATTCCTTTTTAGGCACCAAGGATTTTAACAGCAGCGTAAATCAGAATTTACAGGCCACGTATTTCAAGTATGGAGTTCATTAAATGTGTGAAACTTGACATTTGTTTCAGGGAGTGCCTAGGGTCTCCAGTAAAGAATCACAAATTGTGTTGGGCTCTCTGATCAAGTTCAATATGGTAATCCCCCTGTGGAGGTGCACAAAGGCGCAATTTCTCTTCAAGCCTCCCCAAGCCTGGTTCTCCCCAGACCCCTCCTTCAGGGGACCAGGTACTAACAGGAGATGTGGGTCCACCATCTTACTTCAGGTTGAGGAACATGGGTGGCGTATTCTTTTAATTGATTCCTGAGAGGTGTCAGTGCATCCATTAATTCCGTGGTCATGTACTGAGCACCTACTGTGTGCCAGGCCCCATGTTGGCCCCGGCAATGGGGTGGTCAATGAGACAAAGTCTCGCCTGGTGGAGTTTGCAGTTTTAGGGGGAGACGGACATGGAATAATTACTTTCACCAACAATTAGGAATCGCCCGCTGTAAGAAGAGGTATGAAGGAAAAGCCTGGGGTGTTATGATTCCCAGGGGAGACCTAATTTTTTCTGGGAGTTTTAGGAAATGTCTTTCTGAGAGTCATAGTTAAGCTGAGACTTGAAGGATGGGTAGATCTTAGCTAGATTAAGAGTTGGGGATGGGGGGTGGAGGGAGAGGGGATAGTCGCAAAGCAGAGAGCATGCCCTATCCTCAGTTAATCAATGACTAAATATTTATGGACCACTTGTGCTCTGGGTTAGGCGTTACGATGGAGAGAAGGACTTAGAACTTGTATCAGCTGAGACTCATGGTTGCAAGTGACAGAAGCCCAATTAATTGGGAATTTATTTGCTCATGTACCTAAAAAGTACAGAATAAGGGCAGCTTCAGGCGTGGCTGGATCAAGGATGAAAATGATATCAGGCATTTGCATCTATCTCCTGGCTCTGTTTTGCTTTATGTTTGCTTATTTCTCAGGCAGAACCTTTCCACCTTGTGGCTCCAGCAGCCCAGGCTCACATCCCACTAGTTTTCCAATCCCAGCCAACAGAATGTCTCCTCATTAGCTCCAGCAAAAGTTCTAGGGTTGAATCTCATTGGCTGGTCATGCGTCCAACCCTGAGACAATCACTGTGCCGGGAGTGTGGAATGCCCTGGGGGCCACCTCTGGCTCTCATGCCATTACTGGAGCCAGAGAGAGGTGAGGTGAGCTCTGCCTAAGCCACGAGAATGAGGATGGAAACGGAATGGTTCCCCAAAGGAAGATTGGGGAATTGGAATGAAAAGATGGGGTAACAGCTGTGGGGCAGGCAGAACATCTGTCACAAAATCAAAGCTTCAGGTGAGTGACTCTTGTGGTGCTGTGCCAGGTGGCCCTGAGTGCAAAGATGCTTTCCTGAGCTCCTGTTCTGTCATGCGTGTGCTTAGAGAGAGCTGGACCAGGACGTCTCCTTGTCGTCTAAGTCCCTGTCTCTGAGAAGGGACAGGAGGTGCACAAATGACCAGGATTCGAGCATGGGTAACATGGTCTTTGAGAGCACTGTGGGGACAGAAAGCGAGGAAATGACAGCTCTGATTCTCATGGAAGGGAGATGTGCCTGAGAAGCGCCTTAAAGAGGAATCAGTGTTCAGGCAGGCAGTGATGAGAGGAGGGCACTCAGGTCAAGGGAACAGCAGGACTGAAGGCACAGAGGCTGGAACACAGAACATGTTCCGCTAACTCTTTCAGAGGCCATTTTCTCAGAAGTATAGAGACGTGTAGGAAAGTCATGAGATTACAATGAGGAGAGGAAGTTGGAACCATATCATTGCATTGCCAGTGACAGAAACTCATGTCAAACAAGTTCGAACTTAAAAAAAGAGGGTGGGTAGTATGGGCTTCAGGCACAACTGTATCCAGGGACTTAAAGATTTTTTTTTTTATTGAGGTCACATTGGTTTACAACATGATATAAATTTCAAGTGTACATCATTATATTTTGACTTCTCTATGCACTATATCATGTTCACCTCTAAAAGTCCAGTAGCTCTCTGTCACTGTACACATGTCCCCCTGTACTCTCTTCTGCTCTCCTCCCATCCCCCTTCCCCTCTGGTAACCGCCAATCTGTTCTCTGTATCTATGTGTTTGTTTGGTTTTTTATCTTCCACATATGAGTGAAATCATATGGTATTTGTCTTTCTCTGTCTGACTTATTTTGCTTAGCGTAATACCCGCACGGTCGATCCATGTTGTCACAAATGGCAAATTTCGTCTTTTTTGTGGCTGAGTAGTATTCCATTGTGTATATACACCACAGCGTCTTTATCCATTTATCCATCAATGGACAGTTACGTTGTTTCCATCTGGCTATTGTAAATAATGTTGCAATGAACATAGGGGTGCAGACATCTTTTAGAGTTAGTGTTTTTGTGTTCTTTGGATAAATACCCAGAAGTGGGATTGCTGGGTATATGGTATTTTTAATTCTCTTTAGTTCTATTTTTAATTTTTTGAGGAACCTCCATACTGTTTTCCGTAGTGGCTGCACCAATTTACAATCCCACCAACGGTGTACGAGGGTTCCCTTTTCTCCACATCCTCTCCAACACTGATTATTTCTTGTCTTTTTGATAATAGCCATTCTGACGGGTGTGAGGTGATAGCTCATTGTGGTTTTGACTTGCATTTCTTAGTAATTAGTGATGCTGAACATCTTTTCATGTTTAAAGATATTTTACAGACCACTTCTTTCTTGATCTCACAGCTCTGCTTAAATCTGAGTTGGCTCTCCCCTTGCGGTGGCAAGACGGCCCTTGGCAGTTCCTGGCTGCGACTTTTCAGCCTGGCAACCCCAACAGAGAGAGAGAGAGAGAGAGAGAGAGAGAGGGCCCTTCTTTCTTAGTAGTTCCAGCCGGAGGCCCAGCGTTGACCATGGTTGGCCTGACCTGGCTCACGTGGCCAGCCCTGAACAAAGTCCTGTGTTCAGGGGAATGTAGACTATTCCAGCCTGGGTCACACAACGCCCTCCTGGACCTGGGACTGAGGGCAGTCCCCAAACCACATGGACTCAAAGTGGGCGATGTGTGACTCCTCCCTCTTCCCCCAAGAAAACCGAGGGTGGAGTTACCAAGAGAAGAGGAAAAAAATGCTGGGAAACCAAAACAACAGACATCCATCACAGGAAGGTTTAACACCACAGTGAGGGAGCTGGTATTTATTTCAGGAGGCAGTGGGGAGCCATAGACGGTTGTTGAGCAGGGGAGTGATATCATCATCCACACTGTTCTTTGGGAAGATATCTTTGGCAGTGGTGGTGGGAGATTGGTCAGTTGGAGTGGAAAGAAAAGAGCTGAGGTGATGGGAGAAGAGGCTTTGCGATGGGTCAGAAGAAATGAGACATACGTCTGAGATAAGGAAGGCAGTGGCTGCCAGAGTGGAAAAGAGAGACCCACGTGGGAGGGACCTCGATGGGATGGGCTTGGGGATGTGCTGGGTGTAAGGCAGAGTCCCAAGAGCCGGCTGGAGACTGGAGGGCTGGGGTGGGCGCCATGCCCCTGGAGGTGGTGGCGATGCTGGAAGGATGTGACCCCGGCGAAGACAAGCCTTTGGGGGGAGAACAGAGGAGCCTGTGTCTCTCCTCTCGGAGCATTTGGGGCCAGTTGCAAATCCCATGGGCATTGCGTTCTGACTCCGGGGAGGGTGGGCCCTCGAGCAAGATGCCATTTTCCGCAAAGCCTTCCAGATGTGTGCTTTGTTGGTTGTGGCTTTATTTACTTATTTTTTTAAGCGGTAACAACAGAGGAAAAAAAGGAAGCAAATCAAAGCTGAAATAAGGGGCCTTGAGGAGAGGGGCCTGGGATGGGCTGGAAGTCGGGGCGGGCGCTCGGCCCTGGCCCCAGGCGTCCTCTGCTCCCCGGGCTGTCTGGGGACGGCTTGTTCGACGTCCCTCCCCTTTCCCTGTGCCCAGGCCCCGAAGTCCCTCAGGGAAGGAGCCCGCTGGGTTTTCTGCTGTCCCAGCCGGTGACTCAGACCTCCCGGGGCCTCCTGCCTCCACCCCGAGGGCGGCCGCAGGGCTGCCTCCGGAGGACCCTCGGGGGCAGCTGCTTCCCTGGTCCCTCCTGCTTGGAAGCGTAATTCCTAGGACCCGGGCTTGGTGTGAAACACGGCTCCACACAGCTGTGTGACCCCGTGTGAGTCACCACACCTCTAGCCTCAGTTTACTGCTTTACACAACGGGGACTATAGTGCGCCTTCCTCCTAGAACAGCGCCGTGGGGAGGAAGCGAGAGGAGGCCTGAACCCTCCATACGTAGGAGGCATTTCCAAACGAGAGGCTCGGCGATGGCTCTTTTCCTCCGCCGTGGCGTCCTTGCTGAGGGAGAAACCACAGTCCGAAGGATGGCCATGGAGCGACAGTACACACGCCCGCTGTCGGGCCACCGGCTGGTCTGAGGAGGGAGGCAGGGCCAGTGGGTACCTCTGTGCCCTTGTTGAAGGCTGTGGGGTGGGACATCAGTTAAGACACTCTGGGGTTCAAGTAATCCACAACCTGGCCCAAACTGGTAAGGTTGCCAGACAAAACACAGGATGCCCTGTTGAATGTGAATTTCAGAAAAACAACGAATAATTTTTTTAGCATACATATGTCCTATGCAATATTTGGGACATACGTACGCTAAAAAATTTATTCGTTGTTTATCTGAAATTCAGATTTAACCCATGGCCTGTGCAAACTTACAAACTGATCTGAGTAAAAAGAGGGAGTTTATTATTGAAAATCCAGGGGTGGACTTCAGGCTCAGCTGGATTCAGGGGTTCAAACGACGTGACTGGGACTGGGTTTCTCTCCCTCTCTTGGCTCTGCTTTCACCACACTGACTCTGCTCTGGCTGCCCCTCCTGTTGCCACATTGGCCTCGTCCTTCCACCTTCATTTCCAGCAGGAAAGAGTGAGTCTGTCCAGAGCCCAGCTGAAGGCGCCTTGGGTAACAGTGGCCCTGACTCGGTCACGTGCTCATCCCTGAACCTGTCACCAAGGTCGGGGGATTCTCTGTGCTGATTGACTCAGGCCTTGGTCACATGACCCC